GGCACATTGACACACACGTAGCACGCACACGGCACGACGCACAGCGCACCCACCACAAACACGCCACCCAACACGCTCGCACACAAACACGCACTCCACACACGCTGCGCCGTGCAGGCACATTGACACACACGTACGCAACGTGCACACAAACACGCACCCACACACGCTCGCACACAAACCCGCACCCACACACGCGGCGCGGTGCAGGACTTATTCGACACACACGTACGCACGCACACGCACCCACACACGCGGCGGTGCATGATCTCCACACACACACACACCCATTCACCATCCACTTCGTTGCTATAACAAAATATATTTGTGAAAAAAAAACAAGTGAAAACTGAAGTGTGCCGAACCTCTTCCTAACCATAGACAGCGGTATTTTCTAGCTTATACATATATCAGCCTAAGCCGACCTCAATTTCCAGCACAGGGATCGGCATCTTCTGAGCCTCTCCATTCACATGATATCCCTGTGTGTAATCAGCACAACTGAAAAGCGGGTCACAAGTATTGTACCGCTAACCTGTAAGTCAAAAGCACACGAGCGAAGTCAACGCATTAGCTTAGTCACGGATCACGCGGCACGGCATTTCTACGCGCATTATCTCTATGAGACGCGAACTTTCTACACGACTTGAGCAAACATCAGTGGGACACGGTCGAGAGGCGCGGTCTGAGCAAGTCTTCAACTGTGAATCCACCACGCGAGCAAGCGCTGCCTGCCAGCACACCCACCAGATATAATCGCTATAGCTCTGTTTAAAATTCGCATCTTTCGCTTGGACCTAATTACATAATGACCTGCATTTCCATCGTTCACGCCAGCGTGTCTAATACGCTGGGTAGCGACCATCGCACGCGCTCACTCACAATAAACTCATAGGATTGGTCATGGGACATATAGCCATGCAAGTCCTGCGATTCGTCCGGACTTGTATTTGGTCTGGGTAACTCGGCCAAGGGCTTTCCGCGCAATAATATAGACATTCGACTGCATTCATGGCAGTTTTTGCCGACGTACGACACAACAGATTCTGTACCCATGCGACTATGCCTTCTTACAAAAGATTGTTACGACGCTTTGAAAATAACGTTTAGCATTCTATTTGCGTCCGTGCGCAGGATTCATTTAATATGTTGTTGTGTAATAATGTGATATCCCATTGTCATGTTAATGTGTCAACCTGTGGAATGTGAAATAAACAAGAAAACATTCAAAGCAATACACAATTTACACACGCCAACGATTTATATATGGGTGCGCATATATAAGACAGATATAAACCAGATATAATCTTAGATAACCAGTAATAGATCTTACCAGATACTTACCTAGAGAGCATGTACTACAGTCTTTTACATGTCATGAGCTGCAGCAATAGCCATGTTCAGCTGGTGGCTGCATCGCTTGTATGGTTCACCTTCAACGTCCTCTGTGCTCTATCTGCAGACTTTACGTTTTTATCATTCTTCACCAGAGGGAGCACGGAGTAAATGTTCTGTACAATGTCCTGCACGTTCCAATGCTTCCGTAGCAGTGCGTGCTCCAAGTGAAAATGTCCAAGCCGCGTCCTCCGTGCCTGTATGCAGTACGCACAATGGATCAGACGACCGCTCGCTGTTCCGATTTTGAGACCATGTTTAAAATTTCAAGTTACATTTCATTAATTGATCCCACAGAATTCATGCAGCATTCGGTACCATTACTACATACGAATTAAACGTGTCTTTGTTTCTAAAGTAGCAAGAACAGACATTAGTCTTTTAGGAGAAGTAGACGTACATTTGTGAGGACTGTTATCCTACTCCGGGAGGAGTAACTACCTCCATATACAGACTTCTGTCCGTTTAAAGTATTATCAGACTCTATTGGAGTTACATGAGTCCATGTGCAGAATTCCATCTCTGCAGAATATTACTGTAATGTGGACGGAGCATCTGGTTCTACATGTGAAGAATCACTTTCCTGCAGAGTATCATCATACTCTGTGAGAGTGGTGCACTAACTAGCAGAGTTCATTCTCTTTTGGCATGTCATTTGGCATTACCTGGAGGGTCATTGCTGACGACTTCAGCTCTAGTCCGATCTCGTGTACAAGCTTTGCCAGGTAGGAAAAGTTCTCGTTGATGCACTGCACCTCTGCAGTGACAATGACAACTTCAAACAGCAAGTAGCGTTCAACACAGCAATAAAAAATACACTTAACTCCCCTCCCGCTCATCTGCGCATGGGCACACGGCATCAACGTACGAATAACTAAGTCAGCACCATGTATTTAACGAAGACAACCGCGACGGAGAGCTCGCTTACCTATGTTGAAATATGGCGGCGCAAACTTGGTGCATTTCATGCCGTAAATGAGGGTGCTGCTTCGGTCCATGGGACGAATCAGTCCCCGAGTCGCCAGTTCGTAAGCCTCCTGACTTTGAATGTTAACGCCTGCATAGCTATAACATACATAGGTTTGTCAGTTTCGAACAAGGAAGAGGCACTATTCTAGCTGCCATTCTAGAGTGCATGAGTTGGGTGATAGGAAATACACCTGGCTCTACAGTGTATATTTTTCTGTCGATTTTGTTTTGATCCCGTCTTCCAATAGAGATCCGTATTAGAATAATATAAATAAATTTTCACATAGCATAACATGGAGAAGCCTGATTTCTCTACTCAAAACCTACTACCAAATATCACAGAAAAACTCAAATTCACATAGCGATGTCCATGAAGGACTGTAGCTACAATTTCTATAAGAAGATGCTATCAGAAAGATGACTGAGAATGCTTCTCAGATGTCACTGTATAGTTAGTTACATGTACATACTCGAATGACGCCTTCACATGAGATGACATTATAGCTCCCAAAACCCGGTCCAACTTTGAATCTGTGATATGGCCTGAAATCAAATAAAGATACTATCTAAATAGTTTTTATTTGCTTTAGAAATCATTACTAATACTGTCTACTATGGCTACACTGCCATCTGTTGTCTAGTTTTATAACATAATATGGTTATTTTACTCACGATAAGTAGTCTTTTCGACAACTCGGCCGAGATTTGTGAAGTCATCTGTTGCTGACCCAAACTGCGCTGCTAATTCGTAAACCTGTAAAATACACATAAAAACAGTCACAACTTCATTTTGGTGTTTTACTGGCCTATGAATATTTCTTATAGCAAGTAGAAAAATGGCAACAGAGGGAACGTACATCACTTCTTCTCGTCTATTTCTATTCATCCTATTATTGCTTGGAACCGTCAATCACAAAAATATTAGGATTTATACTGTACATGGTACACGTCACTAAAATAATGTTCCATGCAGTCTCATATATGTATGCAAGTTATTCCGTGAATGAACTGTGGCTAACAATATTAAGTAATAATAACTGACTATTTACTTTTGGCCTACCTTCACATGTCTGGCTTGATAAATTGCGTCAGTCAGCCTGCATCCGTTCCCAATACCTAAAACTGTACAGAAGCATACCTACAATGGGATTGATTCCATATTTTCCCGCGCGCGGGTAATCATGAGCGGTGTGCACTAACGCTCCGCTGTCAGCTGTGTGGGCCAGGCTCGGATCCACGCGCTCATCCCGCCCTACTGCGAGCCATCGTGCTGTAGGCGCGACACCACACACGCGCGCGCCCGCTGCCTGCCCGACCAGTGACGTCAGCCGTAAACGCGGGCTATGACGACCCGCCGACTGTCACCAAATGATGATGTCGCGTCGCCGCTGGGGCAGCTCGCGATGCTGTCGTATGTTAGCTGTCCTGGAGCGGTGTCTCCAACCAGCAATCAAGGTTATCGTCTGTCGACGTTGTTGTCGGTTGCCAAGCAATGGTACCGTGTACTGTCATCTAACAACATTGTCGTCTGTAAGGATTGCTGCCTGTCCCAGAGCAACGGTATCGTGTTTTCTTTTCAAACAACATTGTCGTTTGTCAACAATGTATTATGGCAATGATATCTTGTTCTCTTTAACAAGATTGTCACCTGTCACCAAGCAATGGAATCGTGTTCTCTCTAACAAGATTGTCATCTGTCACCAAGAAATGGTATCGTGTTCTCTCTAACAAAACTGTCACCAAGCAATGATATTACATTCTCTCTAATAACATTGTCGCCTGTCACAAAGCAACGGTATCGTGTTCTCTAAAAGCTCTAACAACACTGTCATCTATCAACGCTGTCGTCTGTCACCAAGGAATTCTACCGTGTTCTCGCTAACAACATTGTCACCAAGCAAAGGTATCGTATTTTCTCTAACAACACTGTCACCAAGCAATGGTATTCTGTTCTCTCTACCAACACGGTCACCTGTCACCAAGCAATGGTATCGCGTTTTCTCTAACAACACTGTCACCAAGCAATGGTATTCTGTTCTCTCTACCAACACTGTCCCCTGTCAACTGTGTGTTCAATATACATGTACGTTTGAATTGGAAATAAAAGCATAATTAAAAAAAAAAACTGTCACCTGTCACCAAGCAAATGTATCGCGTTTCCTCTAACAACACTGTCACCAAGCAATTCTATCGCGTTCTCTCTACTCTCCTTCCCTCGCCTCTCCTCTCCTCTCCTCTCCCAT